ACTGTCTCCTTTCAAGTCTGAAACATATTTCCTTTCTGTCTTGAATCTTTTGTATCCAAGAGCTCTTTGGACTGCTCTGGTAATAACAACCCAGAAGGAAGGCTCCGGGGGAAAGAAACTGGGGTGAGCTCTGCTTCCCTTCATCACTCAGGCTGATGTAGACAGGACCTGCAAACTTTCTGGCTATTGTGGAGTAATAATGTTTGGATATTTCCTCAGAACACCCCAACTTAGCCCCTAAACTCCCTGCTTGCTCTCTGGCAGTGGTATTCAACATGGTACAGGATACTCCAGCTTATAAACAGGCCAACCAAGTACTGGCTATTAGCAACAAAAGGAACATGTGACAAATCTAAGATGATAGATTTAAGAAGTAGATCGGAGTGGACCTTGGACACTGACAAATTGACATTTTTTTTTCTATTCTGGGCATGAGAAAACACATATTCACCCACTAAATATCAGAAAAATTGGCTTGATTTGACAAAACCATTATGTGGAACAGAATAAATTTAAATTATAGAAGTTTGTACTTCAGTTCTTTTCCTTACAAGGTTTCTTGCTATTAATAGGCAAAACTACACATACAGTGTATGTTCAATAGATGTGATTTTAAGAAATTATGAAAATCTCCAGTCTCCACTTGGAAATTATAGGTACAGGAAGAGTCTGAACTACAGATTTTAATAATGCTCTGACAAGTTTAATCATCATATATAAAACTCAATTTTGAATTACATGTTGGAAATCCCTTTGGTTTCACTCAAGCAAAATTCTTATCATGATCTTGCTCTTTCCTAATTTTTTTTTCATTTTTGGGCTGTGATGACCCTTTTTTTCTCTCATATCTTCTGTACAGTTTTTCTTCAGCTTCAGCTTATTTTCTAATCCATAGTAATATCGTTAGTAATTCTTTCAGGGAATATGGGTCATGTTCCATTTGAAGTAAGAAAAGTACCCCAACACTTCAGTATACATGTGAAAAGGGGAATTTTCTGTTTTGACAAACAGAAGTTATGATACTAATAAGATTTCAGCATCAACAAAAATCAACATCTGTAATTAAGAACTTAAACACACAAACAGATTTCAGTTTGGATCATCAGTGGTCTTCACATCTTGCCGTGGGTCAAAAAATTAAAGAAAAGCAAAGCTGAGCAAAGTTGGTATAGGGGCCTTTGGTCTTCTGTGCTTCCTCCTGTGCTGGGTTAGGTGCTCAGGAATGCAGGTGGTACCTGAGACGTTCTTTCACTCTCAGAGGTTGTGCTCAGCTACATTCAATAAACAAGGGACCTGGCTCCATATAGCTTTATGATCTTAGAATGGGCAGGTAATGACTTACTGGTGCTTAATAAGTCAAGGAACTTAGAGCATGATAAATTGAATTTCCAGTTATCTATCCAAAAACAGATGGTCACATTACAAAACGCTCTGTTGCCAGCATGCTAACTTGAAAGGTCACACAGTGCTCTCAGCTGAGTTTTTCTATTGTTTGAGGTTTCTGCTTGCAGGCTGAGAGCAATATCCTGCACATTTTTTAGCCTGTGATGATACTAGTCACTTTAATCTGACATAAGTATGGCCTGCCACCCCCAGCTGGGTGTTCTTTTTCACTCTTTTGGGTAAAAGAGTCTCTAAGATCTGAGCAGCTGCTTGGTGATCTGACTCACCCTACAAATACTAGTTCTGGTACAGTTGATGATGGAGGGAATAGACAAACTGGGAGAATATGGGACCATCCTTTCTGTCAGCAGGCAACATTTGCATCAGTTCACAATGTCTAATAGAGAGTGTTGAAGTAAAATCTTCTTCAAATTCATGGATGAATTTGAAATATTCTGTAGCTTGGGTGCAACTCCCATGCATTTATTATATTACTGCCAAGTATAATTAAATCTGTAGAAGAAATTTCATATCATGAAATGCTAAATCAGACAAACCAAACTGTGAGAGCCCTTAAAAAACTATACCTGAGTCTCATGGCAAAGGCTCTCCACACTAGCAAATAATCACATACTAAATGGAAGTATTTGGAGAAGCTTCAATTTTATTGCTCTCCTTGGTTTGTCTGCCAAGACAGCAATGAAAGTAATTAACTGTTCAGTCACATCTAAACCCAAGTAGTAGGGAAGAAAGGATAATAGAGGGTGATAAATCCATTTCTATGTCCTGTCTGATTGTAGTCTACCACATTTCTAATAACTTAAAATATTTATATTGCAACACAGAAGACAGAGATCCAGAGACTCTTTTGCAGTCATCTGCTTGAACCACCATTTCTCATAGTTTGTTTTTACTCCATCACATCAGTTTTTTACCTTTTCATATTTGTCTAGATAGGGGGTTTTTTTGTTTGTTTGTTTTTAATATAACTACACTATCATTCTTCATCACTTGATTTTTCCAATTCTGTCCAAAAGTGCTAGGTTTGCACCACTTTCCTCCTTCACACACAGACTTGCTAGATCATTTTTAGTAGGCACTTTTACATTTACCCAAATGGTAATGAATACCACAAGAAGCATCTGTGGCAACACAGATTGCTTCATTTTTCTCCTGGCTCCCAATACAGATGTTTTTACGTGTTGGTGGTGGTGGTGGTGCTGTGGTTATTTTTGCTGTTGCTGTGGTTTTTTGTTTGTTTGTGATTTTAAACTACCTCTTCCCGTAGCAAATACAGTATTGATTTCTCCTATTTGAGGCAGCATTGCCTATAACCAGTGGTTCTAGGAGTGAGTAATTGTTTAGCCATACTGAGCGCTGTTGCAATGTTACCTGTCAACACATTCTTACAGAGTAGAGTGGGCTTGCACCTCGTGCCACCACGTACAAACCTGCTCAGACTCTGCAGCACTCTCCAGCACAGGGTTTCTGTTCCCCTCTGTGCCCTGTGACAGCACAGACGAAGCTGGTCTGGTTTTTATGCAGCTAATAGACCTTCTTCAGGTGTCTGTCCAAAGCAGGTCTGTGTCTGTGCACACGTGTATGTGATACAGCCTGAACCAGATGGTGTCTGAGAAGCTGCTGAAGAGAGTGACAAAATCCCCATTTCTTCTCCCCTTTTCCCCCTCACAGAAAATCTCAGAATCTTTAGAATGAACTCAGTGGGATGACATCTTTTCCCAAAGAAATAAGCTAGATCTCAGAAATTAATCATTCTCTTTATTCTCCATGAGAGGATGGGGTTGAACACAGTGAAACTATTAAGTCCACTGAGATACTTCTAACATCTTCCCAATTACTTCAGGGAAGACTTCTGTTGTCTGATGATTCCCATGTTTTTCCTGGGAAACCTATGCCTCATAGATGCAGCTTTTCCTTTCCTATATATTTCATTGAAATTATTTTTTAGATGTCTTTAAAAAAATGCTGAAAGTATAAATATGTGTTTCAGATTCCTTTAGAACTGAAATCCTGTAATTATTATCTTTGTAACACATGTGAATTCTTTTTCTGAACAACATTTTTGAAACCATCTTATCTGCAGGGTTAAAAGATAGAAGTAGTTTTGCTTTCTTGAAGAGAGGTCTTTTTGCATAATTTCTATGATAATATCTTTTTTTTCTACAATGACTTTTGAGCCATTTAAGCAAACAAGTTACAATTTGTCAGTTTTTTTTTTCAGGTGTCTACTCATTAATCAGTGGTTAAGAAATACCTCTCAAGGCTGATGTCTGAAGACAGCTGTAGTCAAGTTACAATTTTGATTAACTTCCTTTGTTTTTTTTTTTTTTAGTTTGAACAATACATTCTCTTATCCCATTTGGGTTTTGCAATGTCTGGAGTTTAAAAGCTACTATTTAATGGGCTATCATTATCTTGGAAAACACCAGGAGCATGATTATAAGCCATTTATTTTTGTGTATGGCACATGAAAAATGGAATTTTAATGTAGATGAGTAGAGAATTATGGTATATAATTGTAGAATTTTCCATGCTCCCCAGTTTTCACAAGAATGATGTCCTGAGGTGCAAAGGAATGTAAAATCATGCTCTTGATTAGGAATTCTTTTCCTTTTCAAAAGAAATTTCAACTGGTAATTTTTTTTTGTTTCAATTACGGTATTCTCTACTTGATGTAATTGAGTGTGGCCTGACCTGAGTCAGGAACATTAGAAAATCTTTGTCTTTGGAATTACAGTTGTCAGCTCGTGCACTTTGGCATATTTCCTGGAAGTTTGCTTGCTTTGCTCTGCAGTAAGTAGACAGCATAAGGCAAACTGATTGTTGTGGAAATGTATGACCAAGCTGCATGCTTATTCCAGATTTTGAAAAGGGAATCCTTCTGTGTACTTTGATTTACAGATGATGTCTCTGAGTAAAGCAGCTCTGTCTTTGTATTTATTTGTATCAGTATTTTTTACTTTTACCTTGTGTGAAGATACTCAGTGGTAGAGACGTTGTGCTTGCTTAGAGCTACCAATATGCTCGGCTTTGTACAATACTCAACAGCAGACAATCACTGCCCTGGAGAGCTTAAAGTCTAAAAGTACCTCAGCTAGTGCTTCTGCTTTTTTTCAGCCTTGTAACATTCTTAAGATTTCCTTATTGTTTTGTCTCATCCTAATAAAACTAAATTTTTAACTGTCAACCAAAACAAATTAGTTTGGTTCCTCTCTGAAAATAATCTGGTAAAAGATAAATTATTCATTTTCAGATAAGAAAATAGTGTGGGTTCAATGCAACATTCATTGCAAAGTAGAATCCCATTGTTATGGACCTCTCTATGTAACCTTAATTTTTTCCTACCTGCTCCCAGTGGTGCCAGCAAAGCCCTATTTGCAAGCCCACTGGCTGTATTACCTGTCTTCTCTCTGGCTTTAGAGAGAGCAGTTAAGCTGTAGCAAATGCTGGAGCTCTGATTGCATCTGGTCATCTGGGAAAGACATCCTGATGCTTTCATGAATATATGTGAGCATTGTGTAGCACTGAGAGGTATGTTTTCTACTGAGTCTCATTTCAAAGCTGTGCTGTTGGACTTTTTTTCCATCAGGACTGTCAGAAGCAAGGTGAAGATGAGTGTGACCTGCTAGTTTAATATTAGGCAAGGGAAGGATGGCAAGAAATGGCATCATGTGCGAATGGAAAAGGACTAAAGAAGAATGAGGAAAAAAAAAACTTTAGCAGAAAGGCTTTGCAGTCCATTGGATACTGTCTCTTTTTGCTGTGGATATTTCTGTAAGTGTTTCTGTTTCTGTGGTTTCTCCTTTCTAAGAACAACATCAGTCAGCACTGAACTGTGGTATCTCAGATTCTTTCTAAGGATTAAGCTGCAGGTTTGATTTTTGGGCTGGCATAAGGACCATCTGTTCAGTGTAGTTTGCAGGCAGAGTAGAGATATGTGTGTTTTGAACACACAGAACACACTGTAAGAAGCGAAGGCAGAGAATAGACTTTAGCATCTTGCTATTTTCAGTTTTATTGTTAATTCTGTTGAGCTGGAGAGAGAGTGCTTCTAAAGGATGAAGCCACCAGGTCCTGTTCTATACATAGGGAGTTAAGGAAGGATGGTTTCAGCTTCCTCATTAAAGGAGTTGAAAGGTGTGATGGCTTACAAAGTTGGTAAGAGATTGAGACATTCTCTGTTCCAAATCTACTACTGTACTGTGGTGGCTACAGTAGCTTAATGGTTTTGAGAAAGGGAGAATTTTACTCTCTATTCACACCTTTAAATTTCCCATCTCCTCAGCACATACCTTGTACTGACTTCCTCTTCAGCTCCATTCTCATCCCATTAAAGCACTGTATATAAAAATTTCTCTTTGCTGTCCCAGCTGGTACGAAAATCATTCCACAAACCACTGCAGGAGCCCTGCACAGTTTTGTGTGTTTTAGATTAAGCCCTACACCCATATTACCCCCACCTGACTAGGGCTACTTCTGTTTCATGAACCAAAGCCAGTTCTCAGCCTTGACATGATCCTGGATTACCGATGTAGTTCTCATATCTTCTCCTACAATTTAGCCTCCATCTCCTCTGTCATACATAGGTCTTCACCTTAATTTATTTTCTTATTGCTTTCAAAAATGTAAAGTTGCTACTTTGATTTAAAAAGAGTATTTCATGTGTCTTTGCAGGAAGAGAGGAAGTACAACAGGAGGGCTCAAATCCAAGAGAAGATTGAAGAGTTAGAAAGACAAAAGAAGGAAGTATAGAAAAGGTCACTAGCTACACTGACACATAGAGTTAGCCTCTCTTCCCATTCCTGCTCCACCTGACATTAGTACCAAAGGTATGACATTGGGGATTCATAAGAGAGATTCTCCAGAAGTTCATTACTGACCTTAAGGTATACCTCATACTCCTCAGCTGCTGACCTTACTGATCTCTCTGCAGCCCTTCACTCTGCTTTGGGAGCCGTATTCATTATCGCTGTAAAAGGGTTAGTAAATGCTAGGAACTAGATGAATGAACATTAGGGCTTGAAACACAATGGAACTCATTGAGGGAAAAAAAAAAGTTTGTAAAAAATTGTGATCTGTATTGAACATCCATTTGGTATGTTTAGGAGGAGGACATGTGATGCAAATCCTTACCAGAAACAACTATGCATTTGAATCACCAAGAGTCCTGACCCACAGTCTCAAGAAGCCTAAAATGAGACACCTATAAAACATATCTCTTTGGCACATACTACTTGCATAGACCTTCGTCTGACTGCAGAACTTGCTTAGTTTATCTTGTGGTATCCCCTCCCTCATGAATGATAAACATTCTCCTGTGTGCTGCTGCTGTTCATAAGGACCTGAGCTACCCCTGTGGGGAGGAGGACGCACATGGGAAGAGGAGAAGCTGACAAGTGGGCAGGGGAATACTTCACAGTGGTCCCAAGCCATGACTGTGACTCATAAGTCAGAGTCTTGCCTCTAGCGAGCACATCAAAATACAAGGAAGCAGATGGATTTTTAGAGCAGTTCAGGTACAGAGAAAAGAGAAACATCTTGGTACCATCAGCTTTTTCTCTCTGCTCCTCACAGCTCTGGCCCTGTCAGGTCTGCTGTCTGAGCTGCCCCATGAGCAGGGCTATAGTGTCTTTCAGTCAAATTAACTTGTTGAACAATTTGTGTTCCTTAATACATTTCACCAGATTGTGCGGATTTAATCCAGATCAGGCATCGATGAATAATCCCAATTCTGCAAAGTTAACTGTAGAGTGTGATGTACACACTGACTATATTTCTTTAGGCTAGTTTGCCCTGGCTTCAGGACAGCACACCATTTCTAACCCACCATGAAGACAGAACAACACAGACAGACAGTACCAGAGGTAACATCAGGTTTGCTTGGACAAAATTACCTATTTAGCATTGTCTGAACCAAGCTGAAGTGGCAGCATGTTTCTACTGGTGAAATGTTCTGTGCCATGCAGCCACACAGTTTTTAGCTTGTTGCTACTTTTCAGATGCTACTTTCTGATGCAGTGTTCTCATATTCATTCACCTTCTATTATATTTCTGAGCTATACCATCATTTGTTCAATGCAAGGGGTCTCCAGGGCAATATATGGAATAATACATAGGCAAATAAAATGTCCTGTTAAGTAAAATTTAGGCACCTGAATAAAGGCAAACAATACATATTTTATGGAAGAGGTCATCTGGTCTGTAGAAAAAGTTTTTAGGTTCCTTTAGAACTATTACTCTCTTACAAAAAGTAGAATTGCATTGTTTGGACTGTCTAGGACCATATCCTTCTGTCTTTGGGACACTTAGACCCGGGCTTACATTTCTACAGCTGAACACAGAAGAAATACTATTTGTACAAGATAATACTCAGCCCTGTACCACATGTGGCCCTTATAAACCCAAAGTGTCACATGTTTATTTTTTCTGAAATAAAATGTGTGGTCTTTCATCCCAGGAAAATGAGGTCTTTGTAGCAAGAAACTGCTGTGCATCCAGTCCCTATCATGTGGGAGGATGTGTAGGCTATGTGGGAGTACTGGGGAAAACAAGCAGGTGAAAAATCTGTTGGGTTAGGGTTGCAGGAGGTCAGGACATCTGGAATGCCATACTGGTCCATTCTACAGGACTTCTGACTTCTGGATTGTACTTGGGCACTATCTGGAAGGCCTGTAGCTCATCTCTGTGTCATAATACTCTCCTAGGTTGACAGTAAAACAGCATTTGGGGCTAATGGTCAAGACTGTGTCAAAACCAGCAGGACTGAACAAGCCCTGCTTAATTTTCCAGAGTAGAGATTATCTGAGTTTATCTGAGTACCTAATCATAAGTAGAGAAAGAACTTTCTATCTCAGCAAGATGGATATTAGACCAAAGAGGGTCTGGTGCCAGATTTAAGAATAGCACTTAAGTGCTTCCTTAACATTTACATCAAAGCTCATGTGTTTGAAAGACTTTGAGACTCACTTCCTCCACATTTCTGTCTGGGTGGCTAGTGCGCCACAGTACTCAGCATGCACTCTGCATAATAGTAATCACATTTTTAGATATCATTTGGCATCTAAAACATTCCTTGGTAATATGATTTTGGTCCATGAAAGCACTTTTTTATAGGATTTATAAATTATATAAATTATATATATTTATATAATATATATATTATAAATTATATATAAATTATATATAAATTATATATTTTATAGGATTTTTTATAGCAATTTATATATATATATATATATAGTATATATATATTATCTTAAAAAGCCTAGGTAGGTTGTCGTAAATTACTCCTCAACCTTATCTCTTTTGGTAATGCAAATAATGGTTTTAGGATCGTTTTTTCTTCTGATGTTTCCATTCACAGCAATTAAAGTATTTGGTGCTCTTTAAAGTTGTGTTGCAACTGTCTTTTGTAGATGTGTGAATGGAAGAAGAGACAGTCTCAGAAAACTAAAGCTAGCCCTGCCCATTAAATTAATTGAATTTTTCAGCTATATAGCCTGCAGACAATTTTAATAGCTTTTAATTCAATCTGCCCACCCCATCACATGCAGATTTTATATTTCAGTGATATTATGGGGGGCATGACTCTCAATGTTTTTCCTTAATCCTCCATTAGAGTCCAGCAAGGGACAGAGATGGCACTATCAATCTACAGCCACTCCATCCGTTTGTCCACAGAGAGGGATGGGATGATGCTGCTCTTTGGTCCAGAGGGGCTGTGTAAAGCCTTCTTTCCCCTAACAAGCCTTTCCATTTGACAACTTCTCACCTATACGCTAATGCTTTTGGGAGCTAGGTGTGAAACCAAGAGGAGAAATACACCTGTTTGCATAGTGATTTTTTCTAATGTTAATAGTGGGAAGTATTATGTAACATGACTTTTTGCAAACAACTGGAAGTTTAGCTTGGCAAATGGCAAGAGGCCTCTGCACAATATTGTTCCCTGCATGTGGAAATTCCCAGCATGACCGATTCAAAAGTTTAACATAGCTGACACCTTGCTGGAAAAAAGTATCTCAGACCAACTGAAATGAGGTATTTCAAAAACTAGGTGCTTGGACATTAATCTTACAATGCTGAAAGATTTAAGTTGCTCATTTCAAAAGGGGAGAATAAAAGAAAAGAAAACTTCCCTTTTTGTGTTCCTAGCATCTTCATTTCAGGAGAATGCTGCAGTGGTGAGTTTAGCATCTTTGTACATCAAAGGGTAGCTGTAACCCATTCTGGAAGTGGGTTAACATGTGATAATTAAGTGACTTTAAATATTAATTGTCCTATTTAAAAGTAACGTTGGCAAAGAAAGACATCTCTAATAAGAGATAAAATTACATTATAAACAGTATTCCATAAAAAATGGGGCTTATTCAAGTGTTTCTTTGAAGCCAAATGAGAACTGATCCAGTGTCTGAGTACATTCCCAGGGTGCTATGAAGGAAGCTGAATTCTTTTCATAATTGTTTGGCAAACTTCTTCCAAAACACGCAGCACACAGACTTAAAAATGCATTTTTCCTGTCGTGTGTCTGTGTTTATGGGTGAATTCCATATGGACTTTGGTCTGAGCTTTGCTCATCTGAAAAACTCTGTGAGAAGACTCTATGTTTCAGTTAACTGTTTCCTGTTAAACACACAAAATATGTTCATCTGAAGGAACTGAAAATGATAAAGTTATTTCAAGGTAAACAAGCCATTTTGTTTCCTCAGGGGGTGGAGTGATTTTGATTTTTGTTATTCACATCTGGATAAAAAGGACAGATTATGTATCACTACTGTTAACTTCATCTTTTTTCAGGGAAATAAAGACAGGATTTCAATAGGAAGTATTTATGTAATTTGAAGGCTAAGCTGACCCTGAAGGCAGTGATCAACTTATAGATTTGTCCTACACATTGATGTGAATGTTGAAATGAGGTGGATGTGCCTGATTGACACAAGGTCAGTCAGGGCTGTGCTGTGAGAAAGGATTCTTGAAACTGATTTAAACTGATAGAAAGTTATTATAAAATTGTTCTCTTTTACAGCTTAATTTACCAGTGGTTAAGGAAAAAATGGGAACCTTCCTGTAGATTGTATTTCATGGATGTGACTCTGTACAGTGCTCTATCCCATGCAGAGCAGTGACTGCAAACTTTCCCATAGGAAACAGCCATCAGTAATAATACATGGTTTGGTTAATATAGGAAATTCATGAATTCTGCTATTGAGTTTTTTCAGGTCTTTTTTTTCCAAAATGTTGCTTAAGGCTCAATTCTGCTGTTCTTGTGCCAGAAGACATTTAACCAAATGAATGTCGAATTTAGTTCTCTGTCCTTATTCAATTGTTTTTTGAGCTCATTCATTGACTTCAACAAGAGATTTTCGCTAAGAGCTGAATTAAACTAAGTAGAAACATCAGGACCTAGCTAAGATATGGCCTTCTCCCACATCCTTAGAGCTCAGTATACTGGAATTCATTAACTCTCATAAAATGCAATGCTAAAAGTTGACGTGTTATTGAGTAATGATAAATGGAGAGTAACATACATGCATTAGATTACTTGTTTCCTTTTCTGCAATGCATGGTAGGAGGCTGTTTCCCCACATAGATTTTGGACATCACTTGTGATTGCAAAACTGTGATGGCTGAAAACTATTAGCATGGAAAAAACTCTCAGTGCTCTGAGTGTCTTGATCTGGGCAGGTGGTGAAAGAACACGAAACTGGCTGATCAATATGATTCTCAGAGTCGTGCCTTCTGTCTTGATGCTGCTTGTAATTCAGTGATTAAGTATGAGGAAGGAAATCAAGAAAAGGTTAGAGAGGGTTGTGTTTTAAATTCAATAGGGAGTAAGTGAGATAGAAGAGAAATTCCACTGCTAAAATTATCGACCCACTTCTATACTGAGATGGACTTAGCATAAGACTAGCTATAGTAAAAAAACATGAGAAGCAGAATATGAATTTTAGACTGCTTCAAAGTTTAAAGTAAGGCAATTTCAAGAATATTCTCCTCTACTTCACATGCACATGTTCCCAAGTGATCAAACAGCAGCTGACAGCAATGAATTCTGCTGTATTCCCTACCAAGCCACTTGTAGAAGTGTCAGAGCAGTAATAAAAGCATTGACAGCAAGATCTTACATGAAGAAAATTCTCCTTACATGTGGAAATGCTTCACTGGCTTGCAGAATTAGTTCCCCACATTATGCCCCTCTTACATCTTAATTTTGATTAAGAGTAATGTGAAATCTGGGTTTCCTAAGGAGAAGAGTGTTAGAAGGTATATTTGCCAAATTTTCTGCTGGTCTACAAGCCATATATTTGTTCATGCTTGTGTAGACTGTTCTGTCAACAGAAGAGTGTTGTTTTTCACAATGAAAAAGTAATTTGAATTGCTCTCCAGTTAAAAAACTCTCAGAAATTTGATCTCCTTCTAAAAACTCTCCTTCTGAAGATTTTTAAGGATACATAATTGGTATGAATATTTGATTTTTTTTTTTTTTTTTTTTCATGAATGGATTCTAATAATTAAATAAGATTTCTCTTCTTTGGGGTTTTTTCATGAGTTTTTGTGCCTTTTCTGCTTGTTTTGTTTGAGACTGTTAGAACATAGAGACCAGAAAAATAAGATTGTATATTGACCTAAGCAGATTCACTCCTAAACAAACTATTCCTCAAAGATTTCCAGAAGGCACCAGCAGCTCTTTAAGAAGTAACAGCCTACAACAATGTTATTTTTCACAGTTAAGCAGACTTTGGTCTAAAGCTGTGCAAACAAGCCTCTGAATCCTTGTGGCTTCCAGGGACTGTTTTTGGGTGTGTGCTGATCTATAAATCAAAAGGTTTTGAAACAATGTAAGAGAAAATGTTTAAAGAAAACAAATACAAAGGGAAACATTTTTCTCTTCTGCCTCCTGCAGATCAGGATACCTTCCAAAGAAGCCAAAGGCATTACAGGGATGCAAAATTTGAATACGAAGGAAGAAACTCAAGAGTGCCTGATCCAAATCCCACTGGACTAGTGCCAAACTTGTCCTTGACCAGAGTGAGGTTTTGTTGAGATCCCATGCTCTGATTTTGGCAGTCAGGTTGGCCACCACATCACAACCCACTTCAGTTTGAAACAGGTAAGACCCAAACTGGAGCAAAGAAAGTTAAAAATAAAAGAAGATACCAGATCAATGTGGATCCTGACAGGCTCTCTTTTAAAGAGTATGTGACTCCTTGTGAGTCACATATGTAACACTGGCATTGCATAAAAAGCCCAAATGACTTTAAGGCTTTAGAGTAGCATTGATGTGAAAGGCCCTGAAGCAATGGGACATTTATTAATGCCTTTCAAGTACTGCATGATAACGCATCCTCAGGTATTCTAGACCAGGCTGCTTATTTTGGGTCTCACTCTGCTGCTGGTGTCAGTGGCAAAACCCCTGGAGACTTCAGTGGTGAGACAACCCAGGCAGTGATGATGAAGGGAATTTAATTGCTCTGGTGGGAGCAGAACTAACTCTGAACAGTCCCATTTCCTGATGTTGATGTCCTCCTGTTGTCTAAACCCATGCTTGTGGTCCTGATATGCAAATGCAGTAAAAAAAGTTCTGCCTGCCCAAGAAACCTAAACACTAGAGTGCAGCTGGAGGTGAAAGATCTGTCTATGAGAGTACCCATACCTGTGACAAACAATTTTTTTCCTGCCAGGAGCTACTTAAATAGAAAAATAATTAAATGACAAACCTACTCTCACTATTCTTTTTAAATAAAATGAAAGTTATCTTAGAAAGATATAAAAAAGAAAACTAATAAAAAACCCCAGTAGCTATTCAAGGAACTCTAATTCTATTTGGTTTAAACAACAAAAGTATAAGAAAAGGGTAGGTCAGGTGGTGTTAATTGCTGATTCTAGGTGGGTTTTTTGGGTTTTTTCCCCCTCCATGCATGTATTGACACACATAGTGTTATCTAAAAGGACTATAAGAAACATCTTAGTCCATTAGCAGCACTAATCATTGGATAGCCTGTCTATAAGAAGAATTGCTTCTCTGAAAAATTGGTGCAAGCTGCTTATCCTTTGCATTCAAGTCAATGACAGTGTTGCTCACAGACAAGCTGTCCCAATGCAGCCATCCAGTATCCCTGAGATCTGTGAGGGAGCAGATTTTGTCCCTAAGGCTTTCCTTTGTAACTTTTGGATTAGCCTGCAAGAGCATAAACAGCACATAGCTTTGATGAGTGTTAAAAAGCCCAGCCAGTATCAGGGCTTCAACAAATGCATTTATGTGTGTGTGTGCACTGCTGCCAGGTGGTGCTTGGGTCTGCAGTTTGTTCTCTGGTCCTGATCACTGCACAAATCTTACTCACTCTTGAGCTCCCATTTAGAGTCAATCAGCTGCATCTCTTCTGAAATGAACCACAGGTGCAGCTCTTGGGGGAATCCCACTCCTGGGACAGCTACAAATAAGCACTGTGGCTAAGACTGCACAGTCCTGCATTTGTAATCTTCCAGGAGATTTTGCACTTGGTCATCTCCAGCACATGCAGGGCATGCAGGCGTAACAGCATAAAATCATAATGCTGATATGCTCCATCAGAGTCCTCATAGTGCTTCAGACCCTTTGAACTGAATAAACTACGCAGAAAATCATAACTGTCTAATGACCTGAGGATACCAAAGAGGGCCCAGGACCAAGTGCTGTGGAATGTGAATGCAGCCAGTGGCCTTCCCCTTTGGGTGAAAGAGCATTTTAGCAGGGTAAATATTTACCTACTCCAAGTATATGTCAGGCATGGCTAAAAGGAATTTGTGTATGAAAGACGATAATTAACATGATCAAGTATTCAGTATATTTTTCAGAGCTACTGATTATAGCAACTGATGCAAAGAGTCAGAAGAGTAACAGGCTGTGAGGTTCAGCAGATCTCAACCTCCTGGAAATTCCACATGGTAATTTCCCGTTTACTAAGAACAAGGTGCCAGGTCACTGCTAGTTTAGATTGGGGCATTAAGTATGACATACTATCACTATTTCAAAAACTGCATCTCTCTGACAGTTTCTATTTTTGTCTCCAAATTACAAGTGTGACACTGTGAATGCTGAAAACACAGGAAAGACATTTACTTTGGTTTTTCTGTAACAGAAAAAGAGGCCTTTTGGAATTATATTTGCAGTCAAAGAAGCTGAATGTTTTGTCCATCAGATCTCCACAGAGGTTTCTTCTCCTGTAATATATTTATCCTGCTTGGTGGGATTTTTTTTGGAGTCATATTTCAGTATGATATAATTTTTAAGGCAGGCCAGGGAAAGACAGAAATGTCCTGGTTCATTGAACATTTACATAGGGAGATGTCTATAGTCCTGTCAAAATAAGACACTCTCGTAAGTCCCATTCTGCAAGCAAGAACATGTGCTTATCATATCCTGAACTGTGAAGATGATCAACTCATTTGCTAGTGTTTGTTAATCTTACATCACTGCCTTGCAATTCTAATAAATGTTCCCTCATCTTTCTCTCACATCTTATTGCTTACATCCTGAGGTGCAGGAGAGTGTGTATTTATTTCATTGGACTGCAGACATGCCTCTATGGAAATGCCTCTGCATAATTATTGGACTAGATGATCTTGAAGGTCTTTTCCAACTGAAACAATTCTTTGATTCCAACAGCTGCAGAGAAACTGTATATGAGATATTTTGTCAAGTCATTGATAAGCACAAAGGACTCTGATTTCCAGAAGTACTGCTGTGAGACATCTTTAGTCACTGAAAACCTGATTCCACAAAGCAAGGAAATCATCTCAGTGCTTTAATGTGATGGAGGATTTTCCTAGGAAACTTTTAGGAGCCCCTGAGGGTCTCTTCCACCACATTAAAGATGCAGTTTAGCTGCACCTGCAACCTATTAAGATTGCTGTTTCAATCCGGATGGCAGGCCACCAAGATTAAATCTGATCAAGGTTCCTTACCCCCACACGGCTCAATACATTTTAGAGACTGAACAGAAATCACTTTTCCATGGTGCATAATGAAAAGGAAGGACAAAGCTAAAAAACTAGCCATGGGGGGTGTTCACCAGCCAAGCATATTCTTAAAAAATTAAATGCTGATAAATTCTTTTTCTGGATTTCAGTATGTCATTTCATGACACACTTTCCCTGTTTTTATATTTGCATAATGAAAAGCTGAAGAAATTGAAAAGTTTTGAGCTGAAAAATGTCTTTTTCAGAGCAGAAAAGCAAACCCAGTGGCTTCTTGAATGGTTAAAAGTAAATCTTGTATCTTCAAAAGTTGTTTACGTGCTTCATATCTTCAAGCCAGAAAGCATAACCCACAAAGCCGGACTTGTCCCCATGACCCACTGACTTTTTGACATCTTGAGGTCATGCATCCAAAGCATGCACAAGCAGGAAACGCAGGGCTTCTTCCAACCACATCCTGGTGTGTCTGTAGTGTAAATTAGAGCTGGGAGAGCTCTGGGAAAATTCATCTGGCAAGCACGCTATGTTTTTTTTTCCTTTTTCTTATAAATTGTGCTAAAGGGTTTGAGCTTAGTCTGAATCTAATTAAAATTAATGAGAATTAAATGTAAAGGAAAAAAAACAGAAATCACTCATAAATAATTGGTGGTAGGGACGGAAAACCTGTATATTGAGAAGTCACTTAGCAGGAACCTCCTGTACCTCAGGACTGATGTAAGGGATAAGATGCAAGAGAAAGATGAGGGAACATTTATTAGAATTGCAATGCAGTGATGTAAGAGAAACACATACTAACAAATCAGCTGTTCATCTAAATCATTCAGGATAAGATATGCACACATTTTTGCTTGTGGAATGGAACTTATGAGGCTGTCTGTTTGGTGGTTTTTTTTGACAGAACTACATACATTTCAATTTCCAATCCAAAAAGAGACCATCTTCTTTTTTTTTTTTTTTTTTACTTATCTAACAATTTACTTATCTCACAACAGCATTAATTCTCTGCCAGTCATATCCCTGTCATGTCAGCCAAAGCTGGAAGGAATTACTCAGATGTCACTGATCCCCACTGAGAACATACTACTGAAGTGTCTCAGATTGCTCTTAAAAATAATCATCTTTTATGAGGCCTATGTGAACAAGAAGCAAACAAGTAAAATGAGACATAAAGGAAAAAGCAGAAAGTGTAAAGGCCTTCTATCAGCATTTGGCTTCAGGATAGAGTCAGCTGAGATTCAAAGAAAGTAAATTATCTCATCCTATATGATTCTTATCTCTGCTCCAGTATAAAAATTAATAATATGAAATTTTAAGGTGGCTATCTGAAGATGAGGCTACTGAACATGGTGCCACCAGGCTGTAGAATAAGTAACATGGAAGAATGGGGGCAATATGATATTTAAAAAAAGGAAGATTGCTGAGATTAATTTCCACATAAATGAAGCAAAATCAGATAGAACCATATTTCCTGCACTGGCATAATTTCTGAGTGGCACAAAAGAATTGTTGGTACAATTGAGATATCAATTAAATGGATTGGGAAAAGAATTATCTTACCTGCACCAAAGAGGAAAGGAATACACAGAGGCTGTAAATTCAAAAATTCCCTGAAGAAACAACTTGGGAAGAAGGACTAATGCTATAGCATTTTTAGTTTTGTTTACAAAGCAAAAGCTGGTGCAAGTCCAGCTTGAAAAATGCAATAAAAATTTTACATGTTTGCAAGTTCTAAGTACTGCAGTACTGAAGCACCCAACTGTTCAGACCTTGAAGATTTCAGCTGGGTAGATCATCACATTTATGATCTATTGATATGGAATGAAGGTTGCCAGCAATACACAAGACTAATACTGATGTTCAGTGAAATCTCCAACTGACAAGAGCAAGATGTCAAACTGGACAGAAAGAGATGAAGCTCAAAGAACACAAGTTCAGTAATAATGGATAAGGCTGATGTGTGGGATCAGAAAAATAGAGATGATCTCAGCCTTGGTACATCCCATCACAGCCAACCTATTCTTTTGACCAATCAGCAGCACAGCAAATGTTTCTGGAATCTACTTACCTCTTTCTGACTATTCAGAGTGGAGTTCTTCCACTCATAACGCAATGTTGCAAGCTCACGTTCTGAGTTCATTGTCTGATTTGATGTAATACAGAAAAGTTCCATCAGCTGCAAATCAGCAGTGCCATAACTAGCATAAAGATGTTGCTTTATGACAGCTTTGTTGTATTTTTCAAAAGATTGAGGAGAGAGGTCTGACTGATGTCATTCAAGACGTGCTGCAAATACTGAAATTTTAATATTAAAATTCTATAATGCAGCTCTGCCCAGATGTTATTTATTAGAAATAGACTGTTGTTTTCTTCATTTGTGTATTTTTATTTGGCAGCTCTTTTAATCTTTCCTCTAAGTAAAAAGTAAAAATGCCTTTAAATCCTAGATGTCTGGAATAGCTGCACTCAGTGCAGTGCAGAGGGTTTTACAGTACATGAAAGGGTGCCTGTAAATGTGAGCTGAGCAAGAAGCCCTCTGTGCACAGCATCCCAGGAACAGCAGCAAGTGTGTCAGTGACAGCACAGAAGAAATTTTCCATGACTGTGTTTGGAGCTCTCACAAGTCTAACATAACCGTACCTGCAGATTACAGTACTCAAGAAATTTGAAGGCAATAAAGAGGTCATGCAAATGGAAAGATATTTAAAGACTTCTGAATAAGATTTCTGTTTCTCCTTAACAGATGAATTAAACCAACTTTAGAGAAAGGTAGAAAGGCTTTGCCTGCAAGAAAATTTTGCTTGTGACAAATAAATGAATAATGAGGAAAGCTTTGTTAGGTGATTTGTTTGATCTATAGAGGTTATAAAGGGTATATTAAACTAATAATTCAAATTCCTAGTGTTCACTGGTTTTACTTCTGTCTTTGTGTTAGAGAATAAGTCAGGAAGCTACTTCTCTCATAGCACATTTGAGCTAGTATCAGTCACAGCTTGACTGGCCTGTGTATTTCATGAAAGGCGGTACTATGAGGTGCATTTTTTTCCTACTCACTGTAAGCAGCTGAGCCTGAGACTTTTTAAAATGACATTGAAGAGACATAAACATCAAGCATGGTACTGAGGAATGCCAGGAAATAAGAATTGAAGACCGACTGCCTATAAAACCTAAACAAATGTTTCCATCAGTAAAATGTGTAAAACAGTTTCAGAAACATGATGCAATTAACAGTTTCTTATGAATGTGCAATGGTTTACTACAGTTCTCAAATCAACACTTTGAATTTTCTTGCAATTTTGGGAGTCAGGTCACATATCTTCTTGGCAGATAGTGTGTGGGTATCTTAGCAATGATTGCATTTCCTGGAGCGTACCATGCACTCACTGCAACACAGCACAAGTGTGAAAGAGGGTTATTATCAGGCTTAAATCAGTAACTCCTGTGGGTGGAACTATTATAAAAACGAGCCATTTAACACTTTGCAGCATTACTGCACATCCAGCTTTGCTGTCCAGTCAGTTTCTCTACTACAATGCACCATTATTGCTGGCTTGGGCAGAAACTGTATTTCCAGTTGTTGGTCATCTATGATTACGTGTAAGTTTATGTCTGCCATAGCGTGTTGCAAATGCTTAGCCCTTCATCTGTTACAGCTGTTTGCAGAGCTGCCTTATCAGCCAGGTAAGAAATAATCCTCCTTTCCAAATGATTATTGATTTCAGGCCAAAGCGAAATATATTAAAACCCCCTACAATAGCTGTTTCGCTCTTTTTTTGTTGGATCAGCTGGTTTTCTTAATACTGTATTTCCAATGGGGTTGAACACTTGGTGCCACAATTTTCTGGCCCAAATGTGATTAAAAAAAAAAAAAAAATTATATTTCTGTGTCTTCCCCCAACACATTTAGCTCACATTTTTCTTCCTTTCCCCTTCCCTTTCCCTTTTCCTTTGAAAGTAGTGTTCTCAGTACTCCTGTACTAGCAGTTCCCTCCAGGACCCTCATTCTCAGATTCAATGCCAAAAGTGTATGTGATATGTATAAGGACTCCATTCTTCCTTTCACTAGCAGCACATGCAGTCAGAGAAGGCAATCCTTGCAGTTATAGCCACAGGAGTAAGGCTTGCCAGTCTTGACCCTTGGGCATACCAGTCTTCCTCCAGCAGCTCAACCCAAATGCTGGCATGAGAAGGCTCAGCAGAATTGGTCTTACCCCTGGTAAACCTGCTCACCTTGCTGAAAAATACGTTGTTCTCAAAGGGGGTATTAAGGTGCTTGGTTTGTGTTGGTCCTTCTGTGTCATGCCAAAGGTAAGGTAACAAAGAAAAAGTCTGACAAAAGGGCCAGTTGAGACCTGTATCAACCACCTAAAAAGAAAATTATGGTGTTTGATCCACTGTTTTCATCTTGGGATGCATCACTGTGAAAGGAGTATCTCTATGGAAGAATAGCAGAGCTGTTTTTCTCCTCTTTATTAAGGACATGAAGGAAAGGGACAGGAGACTTCAGGGCAGGTCAGCTAGCGCAGCTGAGGATCTGCATCAGGAGACAAATCTTGCAGATGGCATCAGGATCAAAAAGAACCAGTTTTTTTTTATTTTATTTTATCAAGTTAAAATGGTTTTGTAGAATACTAAATCCTGGATCTATCTGATTATAGATGCCTCAGGAAAGGCTGAGGGAGCTGGGTCTGTTCAGCCTTGAGAAGAGGTGACTGAGAGGGGACTCATCAGTGTCTGTCAGTATCTGAAGGGTGATGTTGACAGGACAGAGCCAGGTTCTGCTCAGTGGTGCCCAGCAACAGGACAAGAGGCAATGGGCAGAAAGAGATGCACAGGAAGTTCCACCTGAACATGAGTCAGGACGTCTTGGGTGACCAAGCACTGGAATAAGTTGCCCAAAGTGGATGTGAAGTCTCTCTCACTGGAGATATCCAAGAACTACCTGGACACAATCCTGTGCTGTGTGCTCTAGGATCACCCTGCTTGAGGACAGGAGTTGGATCAGATGATCCACTGTGGTCTCGTGCTGCCTGACCCATGCTGTGATTCTCTTGCCAGTGAAATTTCTGTGTCAGTGACAAGAACAAGTTTATGTCTCCCACTTCATCCCCCTCAGACACACTTCTGGTCACACAGAGATGTGTCTCTTCAGGATTAATATCTCCCTTCACAGTAAAGGAAGGGTAACTCCAGCCACAGTACACCATACCTCTTCAAGGTTTGCTCTTCAGCAGGGAAAGATTACGGCCCAGCAGGATCCCTGAAGAGAGGTGTGAGCAGTGAAGTGTCCTGGTGGAAGAAGATTCCTGGGCTGTGTATCTGCCCTCAGCTCTGTGCCAAAGTCACAGTGGGACTTTTCCTGAGTTCAGAATTTCAACCTATGTTAGAAACAAAGGATTTCAATTTTCCTTTAGGTAAATTCTACCCTTAATGAGTATGGATGTGACCCTTTTATGGAGAAAAAATGACAGCACCAGTACGTTGAGATGAGCTTTCAAAGTGATTCAACTGAATTGTTTTTCTAAAAATATAAAAGCAAAACCAAACCAAACCAAAAAAAAAGCTACAATTTTGAAAGCAGATAAGAGTCTGCCTTCAGAACTTAAAAATGGTTCATAAATATATTTACAGATATTAAAAAAGAATGCCCAATAGATAGAAAAGTCTTCTTCAACATAAAGCTACTATTTATTTTTTTTTAAATTTGATTAATATTTTCTGTAATTTTCCAAGTGTACTTGGGACCAAAACAAAATGTTACAAAATTCAAACCCATAATCAAAAATAAGTTATTTACACTCTTTTGTGATTACTTTCTCAAGTCTGACTGACATGGTATTTTGAGCTCACAACATTACCAGGTGGAGAAGTATTGCAGCAGTACTTATTATTTCTCAGATCATTCCTTCATTTTCTGGTATCCCCTCTTCCCCCACGACCCTTTTGCTCTTTCTTGGCTACCTCCCAAAATAATTCTCTTCTGTTTTCTTTTTTGCTGACAGTTTCCATTTAAAAGACCTTGGTTTCTGCCCCTTTGTATTCATTACAGAATATAAATCAGAAGATCTCTGATTAGCTTACTTCCTTGTTTTTTGTAGCCAGGATGATGTCAGTACAGCTTAGGGAATGAAGATTATTGGTTACATTGTGGGCTCTCTGCTAGCCAAGTCCAGAGAAGCTCAGTGTTCAAAAGAGTGGAAACTTGATGTAAACAACTATAATTTATATTGGTTGGAATCATGGTGAGAAAGAAAATTTGCATGCTGGATGTGAATGTGTTTTGTGGTCAGGCATGGGTTTAGCCCAAGCAAGAAGTAAAACTTAGTTAAAATGTCACAGCTCCCCTTTTGTTCTGCAGGAACCAACCTCTGGTGTACTTAGTGACTCATCTGTTGAAAGGTGTGTTTGGAAATACTCTCAGAACTGTTTCTTAAAATACTGACATGGAAAAGGTTCAGTCTCTTTCCTGATAAAACAACTTAATTTAAGATTCACAAGATTCACAAACCCTCAGGAGGATTTAGTGTTGCCACAAAGACTGGCTCTTTAGTGGAATGCTTGGTAGCATTCAGGTTCCTACAAAAGATACCTTGAGAATATTCTCAGGGCTTTTTCTTATCCATCTTGTATGGTTTGTTTTATCCAGCAGATATATTTAACGTTAGCCAAAAGAGTGATAATATTTAACAGCAAGGCTAACCTTTATCATCTGACAAGCCCAATTTGCTGCTTAAAGTCAAAATCGCATTCCATTAGGAAAAGTCACATCAAGTCATATCCCCACTGCTCTGTTTATTTATTGAGAAAGCATGTTCTCACCTTATTTCTCAAACCATTCTGATCTGTTTATTTTAAAATGAAGTACTCTCACAATGAAGAAACATAGATTGCATTTCCCCAAACATGAAATAAAATTTCTTTCCTCTCAGAGCAGTGCCAATGTTAGCACTCCAAAGCAGATTGAAATCAGTGAATCTTAGCCTTGCTTGTATCATTTCAGGGTCTCACCCAAGGCCCTGAGAAAGAAGTTTCTTTTTGTATTTCCCCCAGATCTTGGTGCCAGCCCCTCACACTGGAAGGGGTGGTTTTTGCAGGTCTGGGGGCCAGATGGTCATGGTGCTTGAGAGATGGGTCTGTATAACCCACCAGATGGGGACTCTGTGCAGTCGTGGGGTCTGCTCTATTGTCCAGCCACACTGGGCTGAGGGAACAGCTGTGAACAGCTTTCTCTCTCCATGGCCTGCATACCCATTTCCTGGTAAAAAACTAGCAACCTGCACAGACAGGCAAATAAACCAAAACAAACCTTTGACACTGAGTTACAGCAAACCTTCTGACAGAAGGCAGTTTACTAGCTCACCTTGAAATGATGAGGTGTTGCAGTGAGCTTTCACGCCTGCATTCTGAAAGGATTTCAAACCCCCTTGTCAGGGTTGTGCTCCTGTGCTTCGTGCAGAGGTTTTACACTAAATATGGTAGGGTCTGAAGGCTACTTGCTCAAGGCTGCAGGTCTTCAGTGCTACACTTCATCTCTAAATGGCTGAGATTCTGTGAGCATTTTAGTAAAGAGGAAACAAGAAAATAATATTCAGTGGCCTTTCACTTTGCTGGTAGTTATTAGAAGCTTTGTTATTTATAATCACAGTGGAAAGGGATATTATACTATTTTTCCCATTTGAATATGGACAAATTTCCTTCCCCCCGCCCCACCTGCCCCAAAAACAGTCATTCCACTTTGAGACCTAAATCTGAAGATTTCTGAATATGGCTTATTTTTCTGGGTCATGACGCCTCTATAAACGGAGTTTAATGGAGCTGATGTCTGACTGGGGTTCTTGAAAGTTAAGAAGAAACTTTGGGGTTAC